GAAGGAATTATTCACCAAGACCTTTTCTCTAGTTAAGGTCAGGAGTGATAAATTCAGTGATGTCAAACATTCTGGTTGTTCTGATTTTCAATATGTTCCACTGAGATGTTTGCTGCCAGTTTAAGGAAGAGAGGCATTGTGTCGTCTTCACATTGGCTCAAAATAAAGTAGGTGGGCTACTGCTTTTGAGTTGCAAGAAAAGAAACAGATTGTCAAATGCTATCACAACATAATGAATGTTATCTAAAATTAAGATAAATGTATCTGACTAATGTCTCCTTAATAACAAAGCTATATATGTATTCTGATTTTTTTCCATCAAGGTAACCTGAAGTTTAAATTTACATTATGATTACAGCTTTTATTTTATAAGTTAAAGCACATTATTTTGGTCCATTGAGCAAACTCATTTTTATTCACTGCCTTTTAAAGTTGACATTTAACTTCTACAGCTGTACAGTTGGCAAGAAGCAAAAGAATATTTAATATTCAAGAGAGCAGATTCTACAACACCAGAACATTCTATTGTATAGAATGCCCTATAATTAGTGTACATTAACTGAAAGAAAGAATTACAAACGGAATTAGTGGAGGATGGTTGAAGGTACTCATGTATTCATTTCCTTGCTAATACTTGTGCATCAAATAAAACAAACAAGTAATTCTAGTAATTCAAACTAATAAGAGCTGATTTTCTAAAAGACCATGTCTTTTAATGTATTTACCAAACTAACATTGAGAATAACTTTATTTCTTCAGGACTTAAAGTTGTAAAATCAAGTAAAACAGGAATTAGTTATACCCCTTTTCCAGTATAATTTGCTGTTCAACATCAGAAATAGTTTGTTCATTCGAGAAATTAATTATATCTACAGTAGGTCAGGTTCTTTATCAGGACTGGGGAGAGCTGCAACAGCCTTTGCTTCAGAGCACTAAATTCAGTAAGAAAGGCAAATAAGAATGTAAGTAACAGCAACCTAACTGGATAGGGATAAAAGAAGTATATGGTACTATGAACACTCACAAGAGACCTACCATGGGGGCTGGGAGTGGCAATAGGAAGGGAAGGTCCTTCAGAAGAGGTGACATTTTAGATGAGACTGAATGACTTCAAGGTTAAGATTGAATGTACACACTGAATCTTGCTTCCTCAAAAAGCTTCACTAAAATCAAATGAAAGAGATTCAAAAAATAAAAATAAACCCACAAGAACAAGAAGGACAGAAAAGGGAATATGAGAAATGAACTTTGAAAGCTCAAGAGAAGATGGACAAGTGGACTCTGACTTAGCAGAAAGCTGAACAAATCCTAAAGACGCAAAGGAAGATTGGGGCAGAGCTATTTGAGAAGCATCTAAACTCCAGGCAGGATCCTCCTCCACACCCCATTGCTGAATAACTGCCCCTTCCTTACTCCCTTACTTCATCAGGAAGCTAGAAATTTATTCACTTTAAAAGGTAAAACAGAAAGTCCTTGACCAACAACATAGTTCAGTGACCATACACAATGAAGGATTAACATGGATGTCCAAGGCAATTGCCCTGTTCACTCCAACACCACAGGTACTAGCCCTTTGCTCCTCAGATGGGCAATTTGGGGAACTTCCTCTGGGGAATGTGACCAGCCCATAAGGAAAGACTAAAATACTGATACCAGGGCTTCTGCAAAAAAAAAAAAGACACACTTAGATCCCTCTAGTGAAGCTCCAAATAAATAATCCTCACACAGAGGCTCTGAGCCTCATCTCTTAATTTTGAGCAGGAATGCTTAGTCGCTCAGTCATGTCCAACTCTTTGCAACACCATGAACTGTAGCCCACTAAGCTCCACTGTCCATGGGGATTCTCCAGGCAAGAACACTGGAGTGGGTTACCACGCCCTCCTCCAGGGGATCTTCCCAACTCAGGGATCGAACCCAGGTCTCCCACATTGCAGGCACATTCTTTACCAGGTGAACCACCAAGGAAGCCCATGAGCAGAGAACCAAGAAGTAATTACCAAACATCTAAGGAAAGCTTCTAGAATGGAAGATAGATACCAAACAAACAAAAGGCAAATTAATAAAAAGCATCTTAGAGAAAATAGATACTATGCATGGATAAAAATTTAGTAAAACTATTAGTAACATCCCCAAATATATATTTCAGTCATGAAACAAACAAACAAAAAAAGAAATCTATAAAAACAGAAGGATTCAGAAAATAAAAAGAGAACTCAATAGTAGGGTTGAAGACACAAGAGAGTAAAGTAGACAGTAAAGACAAATATGAAATAGAGAGAAGACAAGAAAATTAGAAGACCAGGCCAGGCAAACCAACATCTAAATAAGGTATTTCCAAAAGTGAGAACAGAGAAAATGGAAGGTATAAATCATCAGTGAAATAAATGAAGAATATTTTCCTGAACTGAAAGACAGGAGTTTCTTGACCAAAAGTATTTGCCAAGTGGCTGGACCAGCAGATCTGCTTAGCATTTAACATATATGCACAAATTACTGTTCTGTTTCATGTTTTAACCTACTTAGTCATCACAACTCTATAACTCTAGCCCCATTTTACAGACAAAGAAACCAAGGTACAAAATGGTTAAGCAACTATTACTAGCCCAAGTTCACACAGCTAGTAAGTGGCAGAGCCAGGATTTGAAAGTAGGTAATGTAGCCCTGAAGTTCACTACACAATACTACCATGCAGGAAGGGGCAGCATTGTGAAATTTTAGAAAATACTATAGACAGTTCCATTTGATTTTTTAAAAGCAGGAGTATGTACTATTTTGATAGTGTATGCAGAGCCAAACAATTGACTAACAACCTGAGGGAAATTCCATGCAGACTTCTGTTCCTAAAACTCTAAATTCCTATTCCCCACCCCCAGCTCAACAATAACACTGCTCTACACTTGGGCTTACCTCCCTGCACTATAGCCAGGAAAAGTGACCTCAGTGAGTAAGTGATCCTCAGTTCTCATCTTCAGGAGCACAGAACCCCACTGGTTGCTAGTCAATCCTTGACAACAAATGCATAACATATTAATATTTTGCCCAGTTCTATCATTATTCGTGGCACGACAGTAAGTCTGAAACTAGTCCTTGTATACCTGAAAGGATCTTTACTTGACTTGCATATTTAAATAATTATGGGTTCAAAATTCTTTTCCTTCAATACTTTAATATTATGCTCTTGCATCCAGTATTGCTGTTGGGAAACTAAGGTCAACCTGATTTTTATTATTTTGCCTTATATTTGCAACCATTTTCTTTATTTCCCTAAGTAATAAAGCTTTATATTTCTGTTCCATTGGTTTTCAATTCCTATTATATCTGTTCCATCAGGTCTATTTCATCTGGTAGAAGTTGACTACGTCTTTTCATTCTTCATGATGCTTTTGTTCTTTAGATGTGTCATGATATTTTTAAGACCAGGAATGCAGCTGTATTATTAATCAGATGATCAGCTGCCTCTGCTTTTGATGACTCTATAAATGGTCCATGAAAAGGGAGGCTCAGCTGGTGTCTGCACCGTGAGTGTGGGAGATACGACTTGAGTGCTTCTGCTGTACTTCTCTGGGCTTAACTGCACTTACTTCCCCTGGCATTTCTTTCTCCTCAAGATATACTGCCCAGTTCCTCTATATCAGAGAATATTTTCTCCACTTGGAGTTGTAGGAGACAACTCAGGGTCAGTTTACAGCACTTTCCACTACCACTCTAAGCACACTCTGCAAAGTAGGTTAGCTCTAAAGCCAGACAAGTTCTCAAAGGAAGCAAAAACAACTAAATTGCCAGTGATGATATATACTCATATCTTCATAATACACGATCCAACACTTAGAATTTTTTCATGCTTATAATTACCTATATTTCATCACTTATATATATATATATATCATTATAGCAATTATGAAAGTTTGTCTTCTTTAGAAAGATGAGTAGAAAAGAAATATTTTTTCCTGTAGTGACAAATCATGTTGTCTCCAAAAGCAATTTCTTTTATTAGTTAAAAACAATAGTAGTTTCTTCCTATACCATTAATTCTCACTATTCACAGTAATGTTCTGGAAAGTCATTGTGAACACTGAATTAGAAAATCTTGAACGTATTAGGAGAAATACAGGGTTAGGTTCCTTCAAGCTCTGGTTACATTTTCATCAGCAAATTAATACATATTTTGGTTTCATGTGTGTTTCTGTTTAAAGACATTCTATTCAATATATAGTTTATGCATTAACTTTGAGTATGGCCAGCAGTACTGTAACTCATGCCTGAAGGAAGTTTATCTATTTTCTGCATAAATCATATCATAGCCTTCTTGCCCTTAGGAACACTAAATAACATTTCAGCACTACACTTAGAAACCATTTCAAACAGCAAAATCACTAAAAAAATCACCCCCAAAATGCAAAAAAATACATGATTGTGAAAAGGACACTTGCATACACTCTGAAAACTGAAACAAGGAGGTAGCCTCGCCTTGTTCCACCTCAGCGGGGAATGTGTGCTTTGGGAAGCTCAAATTTTTTGCCACCATTAATGTCTTTATGCATATCCATTATTATCTGCAACAGCACCCTTAGTATTGACTTGGGGGTTATAAATCAGTTTTAGCAGTAAGAGAATTTACAAATATAGAATCCACAAATATTGGGTATTGACTAGTGTATTATTATTATTATTATAATTGCTTGCATATTGATGGGAAAATCTTGTTAAAGGAAAGAAGTCTCATGCTAATTTTTGTGTATACACATGCACACAAACACATATGTCACTATTCATATTTTTTAATTGATAACCTACTTTTCTTCTAACAGTCTGATGGTATTAATAAATTGGAAAAAAACAAACATCACTTTTTTTAAGAAAGGAAGGAAACCTGTAAAATACCACATAAAGGACAGTTTGTTGACTTTTGTTCACCACTAATTCCTTCACCCCTGCAAACAAACCTTTTGAACCATTAAGAAACATTTTGTGCAATCTGCAGCAGTTTAGGGATTACGAACATTTTGCGCCAATCTGTTGGGTGTCTAGTAAAGAGAGCTCCAAAACCTGTGGCAGGCAATCCAGTGTCCCTGGAAACAAGATAACAACTTTTAGAAAACATGTCAAACTGACATTCACAAACTTTCAAAGCCAAACAAAACAAATTTGGGAGCTGAATTTTTATTATAAATTTTTAAAGGATTTCCATGTTTGCAAGTTTAATGAACTTTGCAAAATATTAATAAAATGTCTCAACAAGTAAATGGAAAATTTCTGCATTTCTGTCCAACAACTACAATACAAGAGGAAGTCTATGTCATGCATTTCCACAGAAAGGCACTAACTTTTAGCAGTAAATTGTAGAAATGGGTTTCAAATCTAGGTAGTCAGAACTATCACCAGAAAAAAACATGTAAAGGGAAAAAGACCTTTAATTGGACCTATAATGTGCAGAGTTGGCTGGCAAACCACCAAGGGAAAGAGAATTCCAAACAGAGGGAGCAGCATGAACAGAAAGCATGGCAGCTTGAGATGTGGTGTCCCTGCTTGCTGTAGTCCAATAATGTGTAGCTGGGGTCAACCTACCTCCTTCACTGCTTATTTATAAGCCCTTTCCTGCAGATGCCTGTTCAAAGGAAAGGGCTATATTAAGCATACCTTTCAATAATTCCAGAGTTCACAGTTTCCTCATTCAATAAAGCCTTGCTCTTTATTTTGGCCAGTTTCGTGTTTAAACAAACTTGTGCCATTTTTTCACGTGTTTCTGATATCCAAATCTGGAAAAAATAAAAAATCACATATAAAGAAAATAAATAGTTAAAAATTCTCAGTTACTAAAATATATTTCTGTTGAAGTACATTCTGATTTTAATTGTTGACTATTCATATTAAAAAATAAATGGCCCATTGCAGTCAATGATTTCATCATAAATATGTGAAAATGGCAATTCCTTACTATGTTTTGTTGGAACAAAAACCAGATTGGTTGTTTCTGTGAAATGGAAAGTACTTCATTCAACTAAATACTAACTCTTATTTGCTTTCTATTTCCTTCTCAAGGTTAGTATATTTTAACTTCTTTAAGTAAGAAAATGTAGCAATCACTTTGTAAATCACACACGACTTTAGATACCATCATTATCATTGTTATCCATTCTCTATCACAGAGGATGATAATTCAATGAATTATCAAACAATTATTACTATGAGAAAAACCTGATAATTATAGGATCTACTCAAATCAATTGCAGAAGTATCATGGGTAATGTCTAGAGGGTCTTAGGAATTAAAATGTATGCTGAAGATTCAGTGTTTTTCCCATTCAAAACTCTAGAAGATCACAAATATGGAGGTTCACAGCAGAGATTCAGAACTCACTACCACCAGGAGAACCAATTACTTGCTACAAATCTGAAGACAAGCTTCCCTAAGATATCCTATGAAGCCCTAGATCACATCAATTCCACTAGATTTTGTTCAAAAAAAAAAAAAAGAGAGAGAGAGAGAAAGTACTGTTTAGAAATCTGGAGACTTCAACTGCAAGAGTATCCTAGAGCTAGAGTCAAATTCCTTTGGTCCATTTTTGTGAAGATTAAAGAGGCTCTGTAAAACTAAGAACCCATCCAATTCAAAGCAATTTTAACTATAGTCTCTGATCCTGGTTCCTTGGTCTACTCCATGACTTCTATGATTTCTGTCCCCTAAGACCTCAACCTCCTGAATCAACAGCTTCCCAACATAATTTCCCAGCTCTGACTCTTACACTTGTAACTCAACTACTCTTCCTCAGAGATTCCAAGTTTCACAAATAAACAGCAGAGGACTCTGTATTGGACTCCATATTTTACACTCTAATGAAAAATAAAGCATTATCTTTTAGGGAAAAAATTACCAGGTATCATTTTGTTTTTAAGGTGTAAGTTTGGCCCAACAATTAATCTTAGATATGCTCTAATCATTTTTGACAGTAAATATTTCAATAAATTAATCAATAACATTGAAAATTATATAAAACAAAGGTACTGGCAAATTGAAATAATGAATAGTAAAAAGAAACAGATAATAGCATTAGTGGCTCTTAAGTTTATTGACTGCTTATTCTGTATCAGACACCATATTAAGCATTTTATATACATTAGCCCTCTAAAAACTTAAAGCAACCCTGAGTGTTATGTAGTAATTATGGTGGCAGAAGAAAAAGAAAAATCATATGGGGGAATTGAAGAAAGTTTAATAGAGAATCTCCTTATAAAAGTGTGGCCAGAATTCAGACCAGCAAACAGTGATGAAGCACCCTGACGACAGCAATACTGGTGAGTCACAGGGTGGGGCAGTTATGGAATCCAGATCTACAGTTGGAAAGAGAGGGTCACTTGGTAGTTGTGGCTTTCAGAACAGACACAGTGTTTTAGTCTGCTCAGGCCGTTGTTACAAATATCATAGACTGAGTGACTTATACACAATAGGAAATTATTTCTTAGAATTCTGAAGGCTGAGAAGGCTAAGATCAAGGCACTAGCAGTGACTGGTGAGAGTCTACTTTCTAGTTGATAGACAGCCCTCTTTTCACAGTCTTCACAATGGCAGAAGTGGGGGAGAGCTCTTTGGTGTCTCTATTATTAGGGTATTAATCTCATTCATGAGGACTCCACTTTCATGAACTAAACACCTCCCATATGCCCCATCTCTTAATTGCATCACACTGGGAGATAGAAGTTCAACACTTGAGTTTGAGAGGGACACGATCATTTAATCCATAGAAGACAGCCTCTGCCAAAATGGCCTCTAAGGAGGAAAGCAAAGAAATGTCCAAGCCAGCTCTCCATCCACAGCTGTCAGTGCCTTCCACAGGCCAATTCCTGGCAATTCACAGGAAGCCAGAGGGCAAAAGGACTCACTGACATAATCCATAAAGGTCAGCCCCCTTGGTACATAGCAGGGTGAGAAGGGTGGAGAGCAGATCTGGAGGGAGAAAGGAAGGACTCTTGGCTTATTTTATCTTCATTTTAAGGAGGGGAAAACTGTGGTTGAAAGGGATTAAGTAATGCTCATGTAAACCAGAGAGAAAAGAAGTTCCACAATTTAAAACAAGCAGTCTGACTCATTCAGTCGTTCATCCATCCGTCCATATCTGTGAAATGCCAGGCATCCTACTAAGTTCTAGAGCTATATATATATATATATATATATATATAGTAGTAAATAAAACCCAGAGACTATACTGGCTGTAGTTTAGTGAGTTGCAATAAACCATGGAACAATGGCAATAACAATACCACATTGACCAGACACCATTCTAAATGTCTTCACATTAAATGCTCATGAAAACTCTATTCCCACTCTATACCCAAAGAAATAAACAGAAAATTGTAAACTGTTGACCAAAGTTACAACCTAGTAGGTGGTGGAGTCAGCAATCAATGAGAAGCAAACTGTCAGCAGAGCCCACACTCATCCTCTGTGTCTCCCATATCAGAGGTAAATAGTATCCTCCAATATTAGACTTCCCTTTCTGTTATTCATCAATAATAGAACCCTCAAATTTTAGTTGGGCCCATGAGGTTTCAGACTACATTTCTAGCCTCCCTTATAATTAGAAATGACCAGTGGCTGGTTCTGGACAATAGGGCATAATTGAATTAATATATACAACCTCCAGCTTCTGTTTCTCTTTCTATAGTATGGAATGTGGACATAATGACCAATTTCCAGCAGCCATATTGGGTCTTCTGTAAGGGATGGCAGAGCAGAAAGCAAAAAGCAGTAGGTGTCTGACAATTTATCAAAATTTCATACCACTCCTGGCTTGTTATCCTCTAGACTTCTTTTTTTCATTTTCTTTTTTTTTATTGCTGTTAATTCAAGGAAAGAAGGTTGCATAAAATCCAATCTTTTCTAGAAATTTAAGTGGCCTTTCCAGTACATAACATTTCAAATATAAAAGCATATAGTAAACATACAAATAAGAAGAAGATAACATACCTCCTATATACAATACAGTCTTTTAAATCATAAAATAAGCTCCATAAAGTACAACTGGTAAGTGATTCACAATGCGGTCCATACTTATCAAAACTCTCACTTCCACAATTCGACTGCAGCTTAACAATTAATTTAATAATATGGTCCAAAAATACCCAAATAAAATATATTTAATCTCCTTTCATTGAACTTTCTTTTTAAATTAAAGCTTTCGTCTACCCCTTCACCCACCCCCCCTTTCTTCCCCTTTTACTCCTACCCCTGAAAGAAGGTTTCAAAATGTACATTGGTGCTATAAATATAAACTCTACCTATGAAGCTTTACAGGAAGCTTCTTACTTCAAGTGTTTCCTTTTGTCTGGCAATCTGTTAGGTTTCTGAACCAAGGCCACATATTTAAGTTCCTCGGCTGCAAACCAACATGACCCCACAGAAACACCCACCATCTCTGCTCTGTACTGAGGGTGGGGCACAGCAGACCCAACCCCAGGCCCTTACACCCACGGCTCAACACCAGGGGCTGCTCAGTGCCGTCGACTTTTTATACACAAGAACAAAACCTTATGTGAACAGTCACTGTTGATTTTTGGTTTCTGTTGTGTGTAGGCAAACCTAATCCTACACCATCTTAATCTGAAAAATCACTTTGGTCTAGAAATGTTCATAACCTGACATAAGGGTGTATAATTTATAAAAACACTTCCATATGTTTAAAAGTCTTTTGGGCTTTATATATATGTATCACAAACTGGAGATTGGCAATTTGATATGTGCAATTAACATAGCACAAGATTACAGGATAATCGCTAAAATTTCCATTTAATTTGCATAATAAAATCTAGCTTGGGTAAAATGGTAATATAAAAAATATCTAATATGTACACAGGAAGTACACTTCATAATATCATTCTTATTCCCCATTTTCCTGAGCATCAGTTTTTTAAGTCTCTATTTCTAATCTTCCAAAATGAACTCTTCTGTATGGCTACATTTAAGAAAAGCCAGTAGGTGTATGGAGAAGGCAATGGCACCCCACTGCAGTATCTTGCCTGGACAATCCCATGGATGGAGGAGCCTGGTGGGCTGCAGTCCATGGGGTCGCTAAGAGTCAACACAACTGAGCGACTTCCCTTTCACTTTTCACTTTCATGCATTGGAGAAGGAAATGGCAACCCACTCCAGTGTTCTTGCCTGGAGAATCCCAGGGACGGGGGAACCTGGTGGGCTGCCGTCTATGGGGTCGCGCAGAGTCGGACACGACTGAAGCGACTTAGCAGCAGTAGTAGCAGCAGCAGTAGGTGTATAACCTGGGCAATGGGTACAGGGAAAGAGCAGGTCACTTAGGACTTCCCCTCAAGTTTCACATTTGAATGTAACCAGCCTATTTATGCTGAGGAAAACTTACCCCCTGGAGAATCTCACTCAGCAAGATTCACTTTAAATGATGCCCAACAGGCATTTCCGTTTGGGTTCCTTATAGGGTCCCTGAAAGCATGCTCCTCTAACTCACACTGAAGAACTGAAGTGACTTAGCACACACGCACACAAGCAAATTGACACACATGAAATATTAGAAGTTAGTTTCTCTAAAAGCTAAATTAGGGCATGACTGTGCTCAACCGCTCAGTCGTGTCTGACATTTGCAGGCCCCATAGGCTGCAGGCCACAAGGCTCCTCTGTCCACGGAACTTTTTAGGTAAGAATACCCAGGGCATCTTCCCTACCCAAGGATCAAACCCACATCTCTCGGGCTGCCTGCACTGGCAGGGAGATTCTTTACCGCTGACCCACCTGG